AGATGAACCTGTCATGGTTAGTGTGTGTGTGTGTGTGTGTGTGTGTGTGTGTGTGTGTGTGTGTGTGTGTGTGTGTGTGTGTGTGTGTGTGAATGAACTTCTAGTTTTCAGCTCACTCTTTGCTCGGGGCTACCGTGAGACAGGTAGGAGACGAAGCTGTGTTGGAGGTGTGATGGAGCGGAGGGGTGGGGGTGTGGATTAAAAAAAAGGAGAGACAGGCAGAGACGTGGGCCACGTAGGATAAAGGAGGAGCTAAGACAACAAGGGAAACAAACAAGTAAAAGCATCGCCTGAGTGCACAAAAAATTTGTTCACTAACAACAGGAGCGATTTGTCGCCTTTTTTCCCTTTGCATGTTCATCCTCCACCTTCCAACAGGTTCTCTTATCCTCTCGCATGCTTCCCTCCTTCTGTTTTTGCCCTATCCCACCCCTCCCCATTTTTTTATGCTTTCCCTTCCTTCTCTTGCTCATCTCTCCAAAACAGTGCCTGAGGGTGATAGTAGCAAATCAAACTGTTTATCCATCTCTCATCAGTGCGCTGGCTCCCGGGCCTCCTGCCCCCTCAAAACAATGAAAGTAAGCCTGAGCGCTGAGCCAGGGATGTGATTTAATTACATCAATAAGTAGCAGTGCTTTAACAAAAAGATTAACTAAAAAAATAAAAAATTATGCAAGATACTTTGCTGTGCTTTTATGAAAAGCCTGTTAATTTTTCAGTTGTAAAAAGTTTATGAGAATAATCAACAGCTGTATGTGTCTGTGAGCAGAAGCTGCTTATTGGAAGTATATTTCTTAGCAACTGAGTGGCTTCAGTTCATTGTAGGATAATTCTGTGATGGACTTTTATTAAAGCGTGTAATAAACGGCCGGGTGTTAGCGAGAGGAGAGGCCTTTCACTTCATTTAGACTTCGTTCGGTCTTGGCTGCAGGGGCGGAGAGAAAGAGGAGGGATGGCAGTGGGAAGAGGCGGAGAGCTTCAGTGAAATCACATTGTGATTATGAGTGTAATTGCAGCTCAGGGGCCCAGGGGCCATGTAGCTCTGATGGCGCTGGAAGATGTTTTGCGCACAGCAACAGAGAGAGGGAAAAGTGAGAATGAGAGAAAGAGGGAAGAGTGGGAGGCAGAGGCAATCTGCCAGGACGGATCAGGTTTTTTTTTTCCCTCATTGAATCTGCTCTTCTAACAATTCTCTACTTCCTTCTTCACCTCTTCCACCAACATTTTTTTCCCTCACTTCTCTTTTCTCTTGTTCTCTCTGTCTCTCTCTTCTGTCCTCCTCCCTTGGCAGGATTAGCTGGGTCTCGTTAGAGGGGAAATGTAATAATGCTCTCACCAGGTGGAATCGGGCCCGCTCCATTATCAGCCGGGAGATGGATGGGCCGTGTAGGGCCGGCGGGGGCCAAGCGCGCACGCAATTTAGATTCAATAAACTGGCAAAGCAAGACCCCCAATCTGATTTATCTCTTACACGCCGCCAATGCTTGCTGCTACGACGCTGATTCCCTATTACCGCTCAGAGAAGGACTATTCATTGGATGTAAGGTACGGCAGTCAGAGAAGCCTGTCAGGCCCCCGGGATGGCAGCAGAACAGATACAGCAGAGGGTTAATACGTTTACAAACAGATAAGCAATTAAATCTAAGGCTGAGATGAGTTATAGAGTTATTAAGGAAGGATGTGAGGTGGTGGTGGTTATTTAATGCAAAAGTGCGGCAGTTCAGGCCTCAGGCTGGGTACAGTAGGTATTAGAAGTGAGAAAGGCTATCATATTAAAGGAAGAGATAAAAGAACACTAAAAGAATACAACTCTGTCTAGGTTATTCAACAAACTCAATGCAACATTTAAAACTTGTAGGACACGTCGGCAGTTATCCAGCTGCCTGAGAATTTGTGCAGATTTTCTAAGTGAGTTTGTGTCTGGAAAAAAAGCATTTTGTTTCGACTCTATACCTGACTATGACTGCAAATAATCACACATGAACGTGTCTTTAAGCACATGTGCAAAAGTCTGCGTTCGTAGCGTCGGATGTCATTCTGTCCACGTGCCAATCAAAGTGAATCTGAATGTCAGCAGAAGAAGAGGCATGAAAAATCAGCCTCCCACCCAACGACAAACAGAATATTAGAGGCAGCGCAGTACCATCGGAAAACTGTCCCTTCCAATCAACGGAGCACTTTACAGTAAAGCTCGGCAGCCGGGCCTCCAATCAACACTGAATACCAGAGAGGCAGCTAAGACAATAAGAGAAAACACTTTTTTCTTTTGTATATATATATATATATAAAAGAAAAACTGATTGGAAGACAGGGCAAACAGACAAAAGTCTCAACAAACAGATGAGTGATATTTCTGAAAGGATGACAGACAACACAAAGAAACAATGGGCTTGATCACACAACCTGACATTTAACATGTGAGGTGGGTTGTAAATTGGTGGAAAATTGACAGAAAACAGAAACTAAGACAAATTGCGCAATTACTTTTTTAATGTGTTATACTTGCTAAAACTTTTCACAAAAGTTAACTGTTGCACTTTATTTTTTATTTTACCACTGTTTAACCAGACAAATCCCACTGAGATCGCAGATCTCTTTTTCAAGGAAGACCTGGGCCTGAAGGCAACCTATTGTTTGTTGTTTAATCAATGAAAATAAAAATTTTACATTTTAAACTTAAACATTTAAACTACCGTAAGCTTTTTTACTCTAAAGCTGTGAAATGTTTGGTGTACAGCCCAAGCAAGAGTAAAACAGAGTTCATTATAATTTAACCTCAAATCCTGTTGCTTCTGCTTCAAAAGCGTCCAAAGCAAACTTTACTTTTGACATTTCTATGTCAGTTAAATTAAACAGCTTGTTTCTGTGAGAATTATCTGAAAATATAGAAGAAACAACTGCAGGTGTGGAGGTTAAATGGATAAAAGGAAGAAGTAGTACTCTGAAGCACCACTAAGTGGCACAATACACAGACAACAGGAACCAGGGAAGGCAGCCAGGTTTAAACAGTCGGTGTTTAGATGCAGGTGGCCTGTTTATCTGTGCAGACCTGCATCAAAACATGTTCAAACAGATCTTGTAACTGTTAAGTATAATTTGATTTGGGACATCCAGACAGAAAAAGTCAAAATGGAAGGAAGAATAAAGAATTAAATATTAGGCGCAAGATTCTCCACAAATCAATGAAAGTGGAACATATAACACAGCAGCAGATAAAGAAATTTAGCAACTTGTGTGGAGTGTAAATGTCTCCAGACAAATGAAACAAAAAAAGAAGAATATTAAATTGTTATCAGTTCAAAAAAACATTTTTTTTCTCTTTTAAAAATGACTTGGAAGGAAAAAAAACTGTCTGCATTTTTTCATTCAAGCTGAAT